GATCATCACCGATCGTTTCAAACATGTGCTGCACTCTCATTGATTGAAAAATGGCAGCACAGCGAACAAAACCAAAATCGATTAGTTGTTAATCGAGTAATTAAAAAATGGGACACCTCTGATTTTGGTGTGTTTGTTTTGATAAAAATGAGCGCAAAATTTCATCTCTGTCGAGGGGGCAGCAAAACCACAAAATTACCTTGAATACGGGGGGTATTCATTGGATGAAAGGGACCGTGAAAGAGGACACTAAAATAGAAAGTTTTTCTTCCGACAGTTTCATCTTAGTATTCATCTTTGGTTTCATCTTAGTATTCATCTTTGTAAAACCTGCAATGTTACTTGGGTATTGTAGTCTCACTGATAATCGGTCAATACCACCGATTCATAACAAGAATTTAGCTCTGTCTGTAAACACTTCTGGTCCTGAGAAGGACCGATTGTTTGGTCCGTGCCATAAGGCTTCACCTGCTGCTGCTAGTTCCTCTTGTCCACTACGTTGTCCGATGCGAAAATGAGCTTCGGTACGACATCGTTCCTAAATTATTATATAAATTAGCAGCGCCGGTGGTGTAGTGGTAAGCGTGATTTCCTCTCACCCCAGCAGGCCTGGGTTCAATCCCAGTCGACGCCGCCGGGATGTTCTGAGACATAACATCTCTGATCACGCCTTTCTTCGGAAGGGAAGTAAAGCCGTTGGTCCCCGGCTCATGAGTTGATGGGTCGATAGGTAGGGTCCAGGTGTGGGAGCTGCCTCCCTGGCGTCGGTAGGATTGGTGCTCAGCACGGAAAACCAGATCAACGGAAAAAAAATAATGCTCAGCCCACACCTGACCGATATCATCCGATCGACTCTCCACAAATAAGAGAGTGTGCAGATTGAGCTTAATGCAAAAATAGCTCGTTCAAGAGGTGAGTTTTCTTCCACCCCAACGCTGGTTGTCACGGTGATCAACTCATCACGCCACCCAGCCGGGGGCGTTGGATAAGTAGAACTGCGAATAATTTGATCAAATCTCATGCTCCGTAATGGTGCCCTTTATGTTGTGAAGACTAGTACTTCAAAAAGGGTAACTTTTGAGGCAATACAGGGTGTCCTCAACAAGTTAAGGGAACAGGATGCACTAGATGTACACAACAGGTACAGCAAAACATCACATAGACGCCCTTATTCACACTTACTACTCAGATGGTAGACGGCAGAGCTGCCAGGTGGTTTTATAAAAAATCTGTATCCACTCTATTAAAAAAACTGTATTTTCTGTATTGACGATTTTTTCTGAATTAATCATATTTTGTTGTTTTACAAATACAGTGCATACAAAATAACCATAAAAAGTGCTTAACCACCTATTCGGGCTATCGTACTAACCATACGGGATATAATTGCGCCATTTGTGATATCGTCCGTACTTATTTATAAGAGTGATATGAAGCTGTTTGAAAATGTATGGAGATTTTAGTTTCTATTCATTATCTTCCTGATAAGCAGTTTTAAATGCAAAAAAGTGCATGAGTTCATTACTATTTGATATTTTTAATATAGATGAAAACAATTAATTACATCATTTGTATGGTAGTTACACCGAAAAATCGAGAGATGTCGCCCCGCCAGTGCTGGTAAAATCATTTTTGTAGTATGGAGAATATCAGAACATCCGCAATTTCTTACGAAACACATTTTCAATGCAAGTAAAATGTTTACGAGTACTTGTATTTGTACCATTTTAATGTGCTCGGGCACTTTTCTTGTACTTAACATACATGCTTATATTGGAAATATTCAATTAATACTGTAAATCCCCATACAATCTCAAATCGTTTACTACCAGCTCCATATGCATCCGAAAGCGGTTGGTCCTCTGTCCTCTTAATTTTGGAGAGAAGGGGGTACGCTGATAAAATCGAGCAAGTTATTTTGTTTTTATAAATTTTGAATTTTTTTTTCTCAAGCATTTTATAAAAATCTGTATAAATCTGTATTGTAATTTAAAAATCTGTGATAAATCTGTATTCTGTATCGGGTCTGTATTAAGATAAAAAAATCTGTATAATACAGATAAATCTGCATAAATGGCAGCGCTGGTAGACGGTCAAGAAGAGCCACCGCCCCCAACACGCTTTTTCAAAACTACCCAAATTTGGGTAGAATCCACCCAGATCTGTCAAAACTGAACCTACCCAAAAATGGGTAAACTATGTTGGGAGTGACAAGTTGACAAATTAACAAGGTCGATCGGATTCATGTCGATGTTGTTCATTTGTCAACTTGTCACTGCCAACACAGTTTACCCATTTTTGGGTAGGTTTAGTTTTGACAGATCTGGGTGGATTCTACCCAAATTTGGGTAGTTTTTAAATAGCGTGAACTAAAGCTTGAACCGGGTACCTGGGACTGGGACACGATACACTCACGGCAATGTTCAGCAGACGATGCCCTGTGCGTATTTAGTATGCAATATGTTTTATTTGGATACATAAAATGTTTGAAGCCATGCGTCATCTAAACCATAATTTGCATCACCACAAATACACTTGTCAACAATCTTCAACTAGAACGTACTCACCAAATCACTTCACCCGGAAGCGCATTCCCGATGCTTCCATGCATATTTTTCTCTAGTCATCCCTAAACAATTCCTCCTCCAGCGACTCCAACCACACAACAACCAAACATCACTTTTCTTCGCTTTTCTTTTTCAAGTCAATGCACAAAAGCAATGCACATTGCAAAACCCTAACAATAGATCAGCGCCGTTCTCATCACCGCGTAAATAAACTGAAATTAAAATTTTCACTGACGATGCCACAAAATTCTGGTCCGGGAGAAAAAATCAAACCACGCAGATAGCGCCAAATCCGCGGCGCCGGTGGTGTAGTGGTAAGCGTAATTACCTCTCACCCCAGCGGGCCTGGGTTCAATCCCAGTCGGTGCCGTCGGGATGTTCTGAGGCATAACATCGCTGATCACGCCTTCCTTCGGAAGGGAAGTAAAGCCGTTGGTCCCCGGTTCATGAGTTGATGGGTCGATAGGTAGGGTCCAGGCACAGGAGTGGAACTACGGATCGGAAAGTGGCTCCACTTGTTTTTTGCAAACACTAGCGCATCTAGCGGTAGAAGGCATCTTCTGCCTGCAGTTAAGATAGGCTGCATCCTATGATAGTGTGAGTGCACATAGAAAGCCCGTGTGGAACGCTACCACAATACATCGCTTGTTGAGCAGACAAACGAAGCACCTTTTGATTCACCGATTTGTTTGCACTTCCCCTTCTGTTCTGTGGTCCAGGTGTGGGAGCTGCCTTCTGGCGTCGGTAGCATTGGTGCTCAGCACGGAACACAAGATAGACGGAAAACAAATCTTTGAAAAAAAAACATGATGAATCATGTTTTCTTTCTCGATTCTAAAACTTCACGGGAAGCGAGAAAACCACCAATCACACGTATAACCGTCCGGGAGGCAGAGTGCCAGCGCTAATCCGGCAAATGCAGCCGAAAACTATGAAAGCGAATGCACGCACAAGACAGAGAACAAACTTAAAACACCAACATATCTAAAGGCGTTTGAAACTCGACTGGTTCGCCTCCGAGAGAGAAGAGAAAAAAACAACCTGTAACCACCGACTTGCTCCTGTTTGCTGCTGGCAAGACTCACCACGCCGTTCAAAGCGAAAATAAGCGGAAGCACGACAGCAGCACTGTTTCATATTTTTGCAGGTTCAAGCAGAACAAAGTACAACCAAGTGGTACTCGACTATGACGACTGGGTTTGGGGAAACGTTTATTTTATGAAAACAGTAATACAATTATTTCATCTTACTTGTAAATTTTTCAATTGATTTTTAATAGAAAATTGAAGAGATATTTATTTCAGCTGGTTTGTAGAGTTATTAACTATCAATTGGTGTATTTGGATTTTAATTTTATCTATAAATGACAAAGCTATATGCGTTCAAAACCTTTTCGTGATGTTAGCAATTTTAGATTTTCGATTTACGCTCTGTACCTTTCCGTAGTCTACGTCAAAAACATTATTAGACTGGCAGAAGTTCAGCGAGAGCTTTTCATATCACTTCCCGACGAAAAATTACATGAGACAAGAAACTCAACTACCTCATTTCTCAATTTTATGTGAAATAGGTTGAAATTCTTTTTCGGAATCGTTTGCTGCACTGTTTCGCACACCTCGTTCGAGAACTTTTATTCTCATTTCGTTCGCGATTTTTGCATGGCTCATTTTTCAGCGAAATGATTCTTTGAAGAACAGCGAAATAAATTCTTTTGAAAATGAACTGTCCAACACTGTGCGTTCTGTGGGGTATCTAAATTTGTAATACATTTGTGAAATCTAAAAATGGGAAGACAATATGATACAGTCAAACTGGACTGCTACGAATACTTCAAGGCAATCCACACTGTTCATAACTCCAAACAAAGGAATTACAGAAAAAATACTAAATTGGAATAGAAACTCATTAAGCATATTTATTGAGCTGCTTACGGGACACTGCCCGGTTAGATATAATTTAAAAAAGATAAATCGAAGTCCAACAGATGTCCGTCAGTTTTGTGGTTGTGAAACAGAAACCGCTCAACATTTGCTTTACAACTGTTCGACACTATTCGTGCATAGTAAACAATATTTCAACAAGGTCCTTTTGAAATTTGGCTAGAAAATCCGAATTAATTCTAAGAATCATACCTGATTGGGGTATTCCACATTATCAGGAAACAACGGCAGCTACCCTATAACCCTATATAGTATGTCGACTTGCTGAAAAGATGGAATATTAAGCAACCACAATAAACAAAAATCGTATCATTTTCGCGAAAACAATCAATAAAAAAGGGGGTTTTCTCTCTCATCTACTTCTCCCGGTCGCAAGCTCCTGGATTGTCATGCAAATTGCTACCCACCCGTGGTGCACCATCGTCCCGAAGATGTGCGTTTGATTCAGCTACCACCGATCAGTTCCAATCGAGACATCAGCGTGAACAGTTCGGCAATCAAATTGCCGGTGTGATTTTGTATTTTGACTTAATTCGAATTCAACGCTAGAATGTGTCGTTTTACGATATTTTGTCTGGCTCTGGTTGCAGCGGTATTTCCCGGTGAGTTTTGAATCATCATTCTCGTTGTTTTCTCGGAATTCGTTATTTATTGATCAGTGTGATTTACAGCCTCATGCGAGAGTGGCTTTGCGGGAACGCTGCTGGATTATCGAAATTTTTTCATCTCATACGAACAGAAGGGACTCGAAAGTAAGTAGATTCTGGTGTACTAGCGTTTGATTGCTTAACTTATTTGCTGGGGTTTATTTAGCATCTTGGGTGATGTGAAAAATACACAAATTAAATTTATTCAACAAAGCAGACAGCTGTGCTTATACTGTGATCAAAAATGCTCATGCGTCATTAGTATGTGCCGAAGAAAAGATGTTCGTGGTTTCAAAATCAATAATCTGCTATTAAAGTGCAGTGTGAATAAGAATCATTTAACTTTTCTATTAATATAATGTGTATAATACAATTGCTCGTTTCCGGACAATGAGGGTGATATGCACACCTGATTGTCTGAAGGCTTGACTATTGAATCATCGGGTTTTGATCACACTCACTCTCAATTAACAATATTCAATGTAAAAATATAAACAAAAAAAATATATGCCTCTAGCGGTGATGTGATGTAAATTTCAGTGTACAATTCCTAAGGTTGTAAAGTACCAGAACAGTAAAATGCTTACAACATAGTCTATCCTCAGCGAATCCACATAAAGCAACCAACGATACAGACAAAACGGTTGCTATGACTATCATGACAAACTCGCTCTGTAACAGAGCTTGATCGGAGTGGAAGAAGGATAATGATATATCTAGATAGAGCTGGAATAAGGGCGAATGTCGCAAGTGCAAACAAACTGAGGTTAATACATCACGTTATACTACTATTAAAATGCTACAAAACGATACTAAAAATGTTTGGACAAATAATGTACTTTCTTAAAAAAACGCAAAAAACATAAGGGCGAAACCAACTTTTTTTATTACAAATTGAGTTGGCTCTTACGGCCGCTGCCGCTAGATGGGGCGAAACTGACATATTTTCTCCATACAAGGCGAAAGATATAATTTGAATCTTTTCACTACTCCTTGCAATTACCGGTTGGTAATCAAAAGAAAACATTGTTAATCTGATCGAAATAAGCGAAAACACCCCCAACACATGAATTTATCTAGAATCCAACAAACTGCAATAGGTCGATAGTAACAAACCATCAGGAAAAAGAACGTAAACATTGAGGCGAAACAGACAATGTCAAAAACTAGCAGGCGAAACATAGGGGCGAAATAGCTTCTGTGAACGCAGCCGGGCGAATAACCTCAGGGCGATACAAGATACTGTAAATCAAAAGGGCGCATGCAACATTTTCATTTTTTCGAGCTGTAAAAAAAAATAATAATATTTTTATTTATCTCACTATAATGCTAACCAATAATGTAATAATTGGGAACAGTTCATTTCTAGGAATGGGTTATTATAGTTTAAATTATATTTAATAATTTTTGTTCAAAACTTCAGATTCATTTTTCTCAGTTCAAGCCCATTGCGACATTGGCCCTAATTCCAGCTCTATCTAGATATTGCTTACCTTCTTTGTGCTTGATCTGAATCGAGAAAAGACATAAAAAAAATCCCATTAACACACGTGTATCCTCTGCGGCTTTACTTCGTGAAGCAGCATGCCAACAATTGCTCGTTTCCTTCTACAGCCCCGAGTGAGCTGTGTCGCATGGGCTGCTTGTCATGAAAAAAGGAAGAAGATTATATCAGGGTTGCTTCCACTCACTTGCTATAAAAAAATATTTTTCGGAATTATGCAATCATTAGATGTTATAATGATATGTTGTACTAGTAAGTAACAAGAAGAGGGTGTAAAGTATGTGTTTGACTCATAAAACCTGTCAATTTCGCTTTCAGTGCGTCACAATCAGCGATCTTATGATTCGTGAGCGTTCACTCAGAGTAGCAATGCCATCCGGAAGATATTCGGACGTGGCAAATGCGGTCCTGAGCTCTCACAATGACCTTATATAATCATACAATTATTTGAATTGTTTTGTAATGTAGAAACATAAAATTTCCAAGAATGCTCGTCCGTTTTCTCCGCACCTAGAAAATTATTTGAACTTTTAGACCATTTTTAATGTTTTTAATGACACGTGGTCGGTTAATAAGACCGGTTCATCCGTACGATGTGCGTAGCAAGCATCTAGACGTCCGGTGGACTCCGCCGTCGAACAACGCAGAAGTAGCGGAGTTCACTGCCACTCCGTCCGTTCACCCGTCGAACGAGCGGCGTCCATCACCAGCATCGTAAAAAGGTCCATGACCATTGCTATTACGAGGTGTACGAGCATAAACTGATTTTGCGCCAAAATTGCAGGCTTGATGGAGCCTCGCTCACGAGTTTGAAATGAGCCGAGCGTAGAAAATGCCTACTGCCAAATCATTCCACTGAGGCTGTGTTCCATTTGGAAATTTTCACTTAGATTTGACACTTCGAAAATAAATTAAGATGTTCGAAAATCCCTCTGTTGCCGATTTCCGAGAAAAGCTCTGTCAAAATTGATTCCTTGTCTGTCAGAAATAAGTCTGCTTGAATAGCAGGTTTATTTGATAACTTTACATCTGTCAAATTTAAGTAAAAATTCACCAAATGGAACACAGCCTGAGCTTCAGAGCTTGTGAGCGAAGGGGGATAAAATGAGAATGAGGTTTGCTGCCATTCATGTTCATGTTTTCTATCACACGCTCTTACTACCCAGGTAACAATTTGATGCTTAACAAGTGTTGGTTAATCGATTTCAATTCAGCCTTAGATTGAATAATTGCTGTACATAGACCACGTTAACCTTTGTCCAGCTTTTAAACATCTAAATCTGGTGATTTAAATCAGCCAAAAGCTTAACAGTAAAATACATTATAAGGTTTTTAAGGCATTAAATAACAGTCTTTTCCAACCCTTGTTAAGCCTTCTAGTTTTATTTCAAAAATAATAATGGCGGACCGCTTCATATCTTATCTTATGCATTTATATGGAACTGCTTTAACTTGTTGCTGACTAATTGGATTAACATATTTGTTAATATAAGTCTAAAAATTACCTTTGCATTTCGGGATTCGAACCGGCAGTCGCTGATTCATAGGCGTCAACCATACCTACTGAGCCATTTAGGCATATGTGAGGTAAAAGATATGATCATTAACTTGAAGCATGTCAAATTTAAGTTGAATAACAGCAACCGGAAGAGTATTATACAGCAATGCAGAATTGTAAGCAACAACTGATGACAGTTAAACATTCCTCTCATTTTCAAGTGCAGTTAACACAATGTGGACAGAAGTGCGTGATTTATTTTGATGGTCATTTGGATGCTAATTTAGTACCATAATTGAGTAATATTTTTGGAATGCGGTCTGAAACTTCAGTGAAATATAACAGACAAAATACAGGATTATAAATGTATACTTCCGACCGTCGTCGCAGCCTACATCTACCTGGAGCTATTCCTAAAAATCTCCTTTTTCTTGTCTCTACTGCTGCCACTGCCTGTTAATAGAAAGGTAAGCAGTGAATTTAGTAGAACTAAAATGCCGGACATGTAACGAATGACACAGACACTGACGACATTTAACAAATCAAGCTATCAAAATATATGTTACGCATTGCTGATTTGTGGAGTTGTGTTAAGCTTAAATAAGGCTTGTTCAAGCTTTGGATCAGCTAACCTATTGAGGTTGGATTATGGGGATACAATTCGCTTCATGCACTATTAACCAACTATATATTCAGCCTGATGTAAATCAGCTTTGTACACCTTAAATCAACTAATAATCAGCTTCTGTTCTTAATGTTCAGCTTGAATTGTTACTTGGGTATCACTCTGGGCGAACTCTGAGCTTCTTGCGTCGAACCAAAAAGTTACCCGGAGTCTCGAAAAGCGCATCTCACGCCAAATCATCCTCTCGCTGAAGTTTACTCTCCCTCTCTCTCGAGGAGTTTTTGTTTACTTCTTCCATATTCCTGCCGCCACTCACTCGAGGTGAGGGCTGGCTAAACTCGCAGGACAAGAGTGTTTTAAAACCTCCAGTGAGTTTGCGGAGTTTCAGCAAGCCTGCAAAATCGTTACGTTGCAAAGCACGTGATTGGCAGAGTTGCGAAGAGTTACGCAGACTGAAACCAAAATCTACCTATCGAACTGTCAAACCGTCTACCTTATCGAGCATAGTAGACAAACTGACTCTGTTGCGTGTTATCGAAACTTCCACAACCCAGGTGAAGTCATCCGAGGTGTAAATAAAAACAAAGGTTTTCAAAATAACAAAAATGCCCATTGATCGACATCAGTGTTGCAAGCTTCACTTTGCGTAACTCTTCTATTATCAACTCTGGTGATTGGGATTCAGGGACAACCACACCAATTCACAATAGAAATAGGGATCTATGGAAAGGTAGAATAAGAGTAGGTAAGAGACGATTATGAAGAACAAATGAACACTCTGTACTGTAAATATAAATGGATAAAAGCTCCACTGTTTTTGCAAACCCTACAAATGATTAAAATAAAGCTTTTTGAATTAAAAACTTATTTTCGTAGTTGTCGATGAGAGTAGATCCCGATGAAATGAAACTGTCTAAATAGGTATTCATGTTACTGGGTTTTCGTTGGCAGTTATTTTAGATGCTAATTTACTTTACTGGGGCGGGTAACTCTCTAATTTGATCCGTTTGATTCGTGGGAAAACGAGACGGTTTACCGGTGATGAGAATCGCCGTGCTAGTTAATCTTGTTACTGGCCGACAGTTGATCGCATACTCCTAGTGTTAGAATATGGCCTACCTGACTAATTTTAATCTACCATGAACTTGCTGCTACCTTATATCAAGTACTTTGTATCCTTTGTTTTTGGTTTATGAACTCAATGAAATACAGTTGATTTTGATCTACAGTACTTGCAACATAATAATTGCGCATCATGGTGTCAGAAGTATAAAATACTGTGCAATTTGAGAGTTCAAGAGATTTCTTTTACTAACCGTTCCGAACAACAACAAAAAAACCATGTCAGGCAGCGACGACGATGGCGGAGCACCCGTACCACCAGCACCACCAGCACCTGCGGAACGAAATCCAGCACCGTTTGCAATCAACAGCAGCATTCCGTTTCCGGAGCCGCTCAAGCTGGAAGGAAACATTAAAGAAAACGTCACCAACTTTCGAGGTGCATTCTATATCTATTTCATTGCTTCTGAGCTAGAGCTACGTGACGAGCGAGTAAAAGTAGCTACTTTTAAGGCTGAACCAGGAATGGAAGCACGAACAATCTTCAACCTGTGGCCGTTGCAACCGGAGGAGAATAACACCGTGGAAGCTTGCTTGGTGTCCCTGGCGAAGTATATGGTTCCACAAAAGGACGTCAAGTTGGCACGATACGATTTTTTCCATGGTTGTCAACAACCAGCCGGTGAAGATTGTAATGCGGAAAGTGTGACCCATTTCATCAACAGAGCTCGAGAGTTAGTCAAGGACTGTAATGTTGGAAACCTTGAGGACGAAATGGGCCGAGATAAGATCATCACAGGTATTCTCGATACGAATCTTAAAAAGCGATTCATCGAGCAACAAAATTTGACTCCGGCTATGGTAATCGCACAATGCCAAACCGAGGAAGCAACGCGAGCTGAGATGGAGCGGCATAACTTGCACCAACCGGGACCGTCAACACATTCGGTCAACAAGCTACAATCATCATTCACTGACGGCGGTAAGAAGAAGAAGAAGTGTACGCTCTGTGGCAAAGGATTCCATAACAAGCTAGCAGATTGTCCAGCCCGAGGAGTTACGTGCAACTATTGTAGGCAGAGGAACCATTATGCGGCGGTTTGCCGAAAGAAACCGGAAGACCAACACCGGCAGCAACAAAAGAAGTCGAGGCAGTCAAGCAGGAACCCAAACAGCGTCCGAGCCGTAAAGATCGAAAACCGGAAGAAGAAACAAGTGACGAATCCAGCGAAGTTGCCCAGTATTTGTATCATCTTAAGCACAACGAGGCGTCTGTTCTTCGAGCCAGCATCAAGTTCTACGATGTAAACAAGCGTACCGTTTCGGTGAAATGCATTCTAGACTCGGGACGTGTAACGTCATAGGCAAAGCAGCGCGTGAGGATTTTGGGAACATAACAGCTCCAACTGCACGATCAGCACGTTTTGTTGAAAGCTTTTGGCGGAGTATCATTGAAGTCTTTGGGAAGAACGGAAATAATGTGTGAGCACCGTGACCAACGTTACAGAATGATGTTTCACGTTGTTGATTTCGAGCTATTTCGAGAAGCTATTCGTTGACACATGTCTAGCGTTAAAACTCATCAAGCTATGTTACTCGGTCACAGAGGATCAAACCAAAACAGCCAAGCAGATTGTCGACCGATATCCTGAGGTATTTCAAGGACTGGGTAGGTTCACTGGAACCGTTAATTTGGAAGTAGATACCAGCAACAAGCCGTCTGTCCAGCACCCTCGTATAATAGCGGTAACCCTTCGAGACGAACTTCAGCGAACTTTGATCGACATGGAGCAACAAGGCGTAATTGTGAAAGGTGAACAAGCTGTTACCAGAGCTAACTAACGCGAAGGTATTCACAACCATGGATTCTAAATGTGGTTTCTGGCAAGTTTGTCTCGATGAAAACAGCTCAAAGCTAACGACATTCTGGACACCGTTTGGGCGATACTGGTGTCTTCGGATACCATTTGGTATTTCACCAGCGCCCGAGATTTTCCCAAAGAAGCTTCATGAAGCTCTCCATGGCCTGCGTGGCGTGCGAGCACTTGATGACGACATACTGATTTTTGGAAGTGGTGACACCATAGAGGAAGCGGTAATTGATCATAACCGATGTCTGGAAGCGTTCTTCGATAGGGCGAAGCAACAAAATATCAAGCTTAACATCGAGAAGGTCAAGTTGTGCCAGGAAAATGTGAAGTTCTTCGGACATGTGCTTACCTCAAGCGGAGTTAAAGTGGATCCGGACAAGATCAACAGCGTAACAGCAATGGAAAGCCCAAAGGATGTGCCAGCTCTTCATAGATTTTTGGGTATGGTCACATTAGATATGATACAAACTATCTCCCAAACCTGGCAACAGTTGCGAAACCATTGCGTCGCCTGACAAATAAAGATGCACCGTGGTTGTGGACTCAGGAATAAAAGGGCGCTTTTCTTCAGCTGAAAGAAATGGTGACCTCTGCACCGGTATTGCGGTATTTTGATACGGAAAAGGACGTCGTCATTCAATGTGACAGCAGCAGTGTGGGACTTGAAGCAGTGCTCATGCAAGGCGGACATGCTATCATCTATGCGTCGAAGACTCTCAGCAACACGGAACGTAAATACGCAAAAATAGATAAGGAGATTCTCGTTATCCTGTTTGCTTGCCATGAATTTGAGCTGTACATCCTCGGCAAGCCAGTCATGGTAGAAACGGACCACCATCCTTTGTTGAGAATTTTTCAAAACCATTACTCGAAGCCCCCCTCCGTATACAACGAATGTTGTTGTGTCTACAGCGTTACCGGATCACGCTTCGCTTTACATCAGGTAAGAGTGGTAATTGCTGACATGCTTTCTAGGGCAGCACTCTCCGACTGTGACGGGACGAACCTGGAAATGTACTACTTATGAAGTACAGCAGATCAACAGCATTGACTTCATATCTATCTCTAATGAGTGGGTAGAGCAGATTACATCGGATTCTAGGAACGATCCTGAAATTCAAACGATCATACAATACATCATTGATGGATGGTCTAGCAAGAGTGAAGTACCGGATTCGATTAGGGTTTATTGGCCATATCGGAACGAATACAGCACCTACCACGGATTAGTTTACCGGAACGATAGGATTTTGGTACCACGTAAGCTGCGAAAATTCATTTTGGAACAACTACACTAATCACACTCGGGGATCGAAGCAACGATGAAGTTGTCAAGAGACACTGTATTTTGACCAGGCCTAAATGATCAAATCCGTCAAACTTTCCAAAAGTGTGAGGTTTGTACAAAGTTCTCTGCAAGTCAGCAAGCGCAGCCTATGCAGTCACCTAATACCATGCTACCCGTACCAAAAGGTTAGCATGGATTTGTGCGAGGTCAAGTTTGACGGTAGGAAGTCCGTTTATTTGATCACTGTGGATCATTATTCGGATTATTTTGACATAGACGAGCTGACATCGGTTGTCATCGGAGCGGTCATCAAAGAGGAACTTTGCCCGATTCAGACGACCTCAGATCGTGACCACCGATAATGGTATGCAATTCGTTAGCGAAGCGTTTCGTAAATTTGTAACTGAATGGGGATTCCAACAAACAGTTTCCGCACCCTACCATCAACAAGCAAACGGCAAAGTGGCGTCAGCTGTGAAAGTAGCAAATTCTTTGCTAAAGAAGGCTCACGAATCCAAGCAAGACTTTTGGGAAGTTCTTGCTGAACTTTTTTCAGCAAACCGTTTTGGTGGAAAGGAAACATCGCAATTTGGTATGTCTGTTTAGCAAATATTAGGCGTGTATATTAAGTGATTTGAGTCTTGAACGTTAGCGTGACGTTAGACAATGTATCCTCGTACATATGTACAATACTTTACACACATTTATGAAGGAAGAAAGTGATGCAGTAACAATGTTTCAATCAAATGAAAACTGATACTATTTCCAACCAAAGAAAATCCTTTACTGGGCCGGGAATTCTGTCCATGCTTTATGGCCGTTCGCTTTCTGCCTTCAGCGGCTTTCAGATGCATTAATTTACGATACTTACATAAAAGGGAAACACGATACAGTCAATACTGCTTCCAGCTTGTCCGTTTACCTATTTCCGAGAAGCATGTACCGATAATGCTCATGTGGTTGTTATCGAGACACCTAGAAACAATGAGAGCAATCAACCGTCCATCTGCCTTGGGACATTGATTTCCGAGCAGTTCGTGCTAACAACGACCAGCTGCGTAGCTTCAACTCCTCCAGCCGATCTGAAACTGCATGCCAACGATGCTCACGAGAATATGTTTGTCGCATCCGTTTATCATCATCCAGATTACAAACTGACTGCTACTGCGACAGAACATGGGGATCATTTGGCAATATTAAAACTGAACTCCACAGTCAGGTATGTAAAAGCTAAAGAATGCGTGATTCGTAAATTATAAATTTTTCCATGATATTTTAGATTCAACAAAAAGCTGGCAGCTGCATGTTACTGGACTTCCGATTCGTTGGACATGTATGCAAAGGTTCAAGAGATAAGTTATGGTAGGTATAACGCTATTATTCATCAGGGCAGAGTTATTGTCACGTTTTACGTATTAATAGACTCCATCATGAAAAAGCCGGTTCAAAATACTACAATCTGCTCGGGAGAGCACAAAAACGAATGCCTCAAATCAGCACAACAGCTGTGGTGTCAAAGGGTATCACACACGTATACACTTATTTGCACGGTTCGAAAGCTGATCTTATTTTTTCTTCCCAAATTTTCAGAAATCATCCATAGGGTTTTTACAAATCAGGCAGCTAGGCCAGCATCAGATGCATCCGATGGTAGCTAGCTTTAGCTGCTACAATGAAAATGAGATTATTCCAATTGCGAACAACCTGCTATGGATAAGGGAAGTGACGAAAAGTTCGAATCTTGAATACAATTATACAGACTCCGGTCTTGGAGAAAAGTGCCTTAAAAACGATAACACAACTGGAGTATGTCTGCCGATCGAAGCGTGCTCACAGGCTTTCAAGAATATTAAAAATATTCAGATGAACCATGCCGTCAATCAGTGTGGTTTCGACAAAAATGATATTCCATTGATCTGTTGCGCCACAGAAGAAATGCTCAAAGGTCCCGAAACGGAAGCTCTATTCAGAGACATTGTTCAAGAAATTGAAGATTGCGAAATGCTGTATGATGAATTTAGGCGCACTCCGGAAGAGCACCAACTTCATTCCCAGGTAGCCATTATAGATAGCCATGATTCAATCAATTGCACGGCGACTCTAATCACAGCGCGCTATCTTCTCACTTCGGCCCAATGCGTTCTTTCGTAAGTCCTATGCATAATAGTTCAATTCGTTTCATAATTTTTATCTCAATCTATTTCCCAGTCTTGATATGAAAACTGCAACCGTGTGGCTTGGGCTTAGCAACGATATCGACAATGTGGCCCAGAAGAACGTAATCCACTCAGCTTTTCCCCATCCAAAATTCAACGCAAAAACCAATCACTACAACGTGGCCGTAATCAAACTGAAATATCCGGTTCTAATCCAATCATCAAGCGTTCCAGCTTGTCTGTGGCGCGAGAAGGCGAAGATGCCAACTGACCTGAGTGCCGTGAAATTTCACGAAGAAGTCCCTTCAATGGTTTCAGCCAGCCCGATGTACTACAGTGACTGCCGTCGATTGTATAATCCTGATTTGATCCCATCGGAGATGTGTGTCGATCATCAAGCTCCGCTCTATTGTGATCCAAAGGAACAGGAAGATCTGTGCAGGCAGCCTGGAAGTGGACTGTTCTCTAATCTCTACTACGGAGACGATATGAAGCCTGTAACGTATGTCGTTGGAATATACAACAGCGGATTTCAGTGTGACAAAGGTGGGCCAGCTCTGTATACTCGGGTGAGCGAGTATTACGAATGGATTAAGAGTGTAGTTTATTTGGATTCTCAGAAGGCAGAATAAATGGGGATTTTAATTGTTTTGTAGATTATAATAAAAAATCAAATTTCTACAATGCAGGATTTTATCATATCCATTTTTTATTATTGCTTTGAACTGAAGAACTTTCCATTGGTCGAATTAGGTGTTTTTATTTTTATAGGATCTAAAATTAAAGTCAGGATTTTATGTTCTTTATTGTATTATTTTATAATCTCTCCCCAACCTCAACATAGAGGAGAAGGGATATAATGAGCACCTTAAGCAATGTACACAGTTTTTGGTGACCTAATGCAATACAACTTGAAATTTTAGGCTTGTGTGCTTGAATATAATCATTTTCGTTTATGACCTGTTGATTAAAAGTGTGAAATTAGTTGATTTGGACCTTACAGTTTCAGGATTGGCTGACAACGGCAGCATATTTTATAGGAACGAGGTGAGCTCAGCACCAGCATGGGGCATAATGAGCCTATCTACAATAACGGGTAGTGATGGTTCTTATTAATATTAAACGTGCTCTGATGATTAGTTAACAATTAATCAACCTATAAAGAATGAAGCAAAAAGAAGATAAATAGAGGAAATGGCTTTAATGTTGACCTATGAATCTAAGAGTAGGCCCATCGTTAAAAATCTGCTATTTATCAATTTTATCTAGATGAACGCGTCATTACCAATGGTTCATCTTCTACTCGCTCGGTTGATATCGCGTACGATCTTACGAAAAACATTGACTGGCGAAAGTTCACGACCGCGCTTCTTGATGCCAGTCAATCGGTTGACATACTTTCTCTTCTGGACGAGTACTCCTTTCTCGCGGTCTCATCATCGATTGTGCGCTGCGAGCACAGACAAAACGTGTTCCATGTGTTTCCGTTCGCAAGCGACCTCCCACCCCGTGGTGGGATAAGGATTGCACCGACGCGAACAACGAGAAGTCCGCCGCGTTTAAACGCTACCGCAAACACGGTAAGGTCGGGGATTCCGAGTATAGTCGCTATATTCATAGTCTGGCGGATAGAATTTCGATCTATCAAAAAGTGGAACCAATTCAATATATTTTAGACCAACAATTGAAAAGGTACTATCAACATTTATAAACAAACGTTGATTATTCTTTCCACGCCAACCGAACGCAAATTACCGGCATCATCGGATAGGGGAGACTTTCCACAACCCAAAGATGGCATTAGTTTGCGTAGGCGAGCCTTGAGTCACGAGAAAATGGTTTCCGACGTTTTGTTCGCTATAGCTGAAGTGCTCTTTTCTGTTGTTAGTCGTGATTTGCTCGATTGGTTCCGCTATTTGACAGCTCAATTGGTTCCCGAGATTCTATCCGCCAGACTTTGAATATAGCGACTATAATTTAAGGCGGTACACCGACTTTGAGAAAAATTTTAAGGACTTGACGTCTGGAACGCGCAAAAATTGGTCAACTTCAAATTGGTGTATTTCTGTTAAAAATGCATACAAAAACCTCAAATGCTGCATTTGGAAGTTGAGTGTATATACAATGGTGATACTATGATAAGTTTTCACCGTTTTCAACGTTTGCTCTCCAGTTTTCAAAATGACGTCCAAGCAAGAGAATCCGACGTTCTCACACACCAAGTTGGCAAAATTGCTGGATGTGGCCAAATCGACCGTGAAAAACGTTTTAAAAGTGTTCGGGGAGCATCTGTCGACCGCGAGGAAGCCTGGAAGCGGCGGCAATCGTAATCCGGACGTGGCAGCGACGACGAAGAAGGTGGCGGTGAAATATAAGCGGAATCAAAGACATCATATCAAGAAGACTAGCAACTTTGCCAGAATCCAAGCGACAGATACAAAAGCGCTGCGCTTGAGTGAAGGTGGAAGCAACGCATAGAAAAATGAGCAAATACACAAACCTTTCTTCTGAGGATGTAATCTTTGCTATCAAATTCGTTCGAAGCATTTATCTTTGAGCGGCAGATGACGTGATTGTTCCTGTCTCATAGCGTTCGTATGAGAAAATGGAAATGTTGTCAGCCGTCTTAATTTGTTGTCTTCGGTGGAATCCTAACCTCTCCATCTGGGACGTTGCTGGCAAGCTCAATGTCTCCCATAATACTGTGCAGCGGGCCAAGAAACGAGCCGAAACACTTCGGCAAAGCAGCGGTCCCGAAAGCTGTATACGAATCTGGTCACATACTTCGACTGTGTCGTCATGGATGACGAAACTTATGTGAAGGCTGATTGCAAGCAGCTTCCGGGACAGGAGTTTTATACCGCATCAGGAAAAGGGAAGGTGGCTGAAATTTTCAAAACCATCGAACTATCGAAGTGTCCGAAAAAATATCTCGTCTGGCAGGTCATATGCACGTGTGGTCTAAAAAGCAGCATTTTCATTATTACGGGAACCATAAATCAAGAGATCGACATCCAGGAATGCCTGGAAAAGCGGCTGCTACCATTTCTAAAGCAACATAATAGACCTGTGCTGTTCTGGTCGGACTTGGCGAGCTGCCACTATGGGAAAAAGGCAATCGAGGGGTACGATGCGAACAACGTGGTTGTGTTACCCAAAGACCACAACCCTCCCAACAGCCCAGAACTCCGCCCTATCGAACGGTATTGGGCCTTGGTTAAACGGAATTAAAAAAAAAATTCTAATAAATCCATGGAAAGCAGTTTAAATCTAACTGGCGTTCGGCGGCAAATGAGGTTGATGAGACCACTGTGCAAAATTTAATGAAAGGGGTTAAGCGGAAGGCACGGCAGTTCGGATTTGGCAAACCAAAATAATAAACGAACATTTTTCCTTTAAATATATGAATTGAACTACCAAAAGAAAAATAAGAAGATTTTTGTGGTATGACTGAAAGAACAGATTTTTTGTCGACCAATTTTTGCGCGTTCCAGTCTTTAAAGCAAAACAAACGCGGTTACTGGCGTTGGTTCGTCGATGGTCGCGAGAGACTTCCATGAGAACACTCTGGAATGTCCAGCGCAGTGGCAGGCGCGTAGGCAACATGTTATACAGTGACAGCGGGCCCAGCGCAGCAAAATAAATGATTTGAGCCCGAGACATGCTGCCTACTGTCAAACGCTGCTGTTGGTATAGGCCTTGTCACTGGCCTGGGAATGTCGGCAGGAGAATGCGAAACGCGTCATCACCGGTTAACGAACACAAGGAGTACTCAGAAGTGGACCCTACACGATTGCTTTTATTGACAATAAGTTCAATATTGACGTCAATATATCGGTATTGACAATATTTCTGTATTCACATGATCAATATTATTGTCAATAATTCCCCTTCGCGTCAATATATTGATACGTGTGGGGTTCGCTAGACAGTTGGATATTCAGCTTCGCGCGGAAAGTTTGTGATCGTCCTTCGTGTAGTAACGAAATAGATTCCCCGTTTTCGATGGTGGAATGCTCACTTGCGCTCCTCTCATGTAACAACTCAGCTCCAGGAATGGATAGAATCAAGTTCAGCTTGCTTAAAAATCTCCCAGACGTCGCGAAGAGACGCTTGTTGAACTTATTCAATCAATTTCTGGAACACAACATTTTTCCGGATGACTGGAGGCAAGTAAGAGTTATTGCCATTCGAAAACCCGGTAAACCCGCGTCGGATTATAACTCGTACCGTCCCATCGCGATGCTGTCCTGTATACGGAAATTGTTGGAGAAAATGATTCTTTTTCGTCTAGACAAATGGGTCGAGTCGAATGGTTTACTTTCAGATACGAAATTTGGATTTCGGAGAGGCAAAGGAACGAGCGACTGTCTTGCGTTGCTTTCAATTGAAATTCAACTGGCCTATGCGCAAAAACAGCAAATGGGTTCAGTTTTCTTGGACATTAAGGGGGCTTTTGATTCTGTTTGTATCGACGTCCTTTCGGTTAAACTCCACGATAGTGGGCTTTCACCAATTATTAACAACTATTCGAGCAACTTGTTGTCTGAGAAATATATGAGCTTCTCTCATGGAAACTCGGCAATTTCACGAATTAGTTTCATTTGTCTCCCCCAGGGCTCATGTTTATTTGCCCCCTTCTTTATAATTTTTATGTAAAAGACATTGATGGTTGTCTTGATGAACATTGCTCGCTAAGGCAGCTTGCAGATGATGGCGTTGTGTCTGTTATATGGCAAGTGCACCGGACCTGCAAGGACCATTGGAAGATACCTTAGACAATTTGCCTACTTGGGCTATGAAGCTGGATATCGAATTCTCTCCGGAGAAAACTGAGTTGGTTGTTTTTTTTCTAGGAAGCATCATCCTGCACAGTTACAGCTTCAACTAAAGGGTAGAACAATCACTCAAAGTATATCTTTCCAGTTCTTAGGTGTCTGGTTCGATTCCAAAAGCAAAAAGGGAAAACATATTGCGTATCTGAAACAAAAATGCCAACAAAGAATCAATTTTCTTCGTTTCAAGCCTTCTATAGTTCCTCTGTAAATTTTGATCTGACCATGATGCAAGAAATCCATGGAATACCAGATCACCATCGGTCGATGGTTATTCCCTCAATTTTTGCAATCAAGTACCACCATGTAAGTAACGATACAAGTTTTTTTCACAGATAGGTCAACTATAAACGCTTCCACTGGATTTGGAGTATTCAACGAATTTTATAGCGCCTCATATCAACTGCGAAAACCCTGCTCCGTATATGTTTCGGAACGAGCAACCATATTCTACTCAGTAGAGCTCATTGGAGGCTATCCGTTCAATGAGGCCGATGAAGTAAAATTGAGTACTTTATCTAACTGCTCCTATACCATCACTTTAGTTTCAGTCCCATCTCATTGCTCTATTCCGGGTAACGAGAAAGCGGACTAGTTGGCTGAAGTGGGCGCTATGGAAGGCGATATTTTTGATCAACAAATTGACTTTGCCGAATTTCTCTCAATTACCCGTCAGCAAGTCCTCACCAACTGGCAACAAAAATGGAATGAGAGTTATCTGGGAAGATGGTTACATTCTATTCTCCCACAGGTGTCGATCAAAACGTGGTTGAAAGGGTTGGACATGAGGCGTGACTTTATACGTGTCATG